CTTATCATCCTCACCAACGCGCTCATGGGAAAGAACCCGGAGAAGGACAGCGACCCGCATCTGGATGATAGGCTGTCGAGGGGCCTTGCGTCGGTGCTGCATGTGGGCATGGAGGAGGTGGCTGAAGAGGTGAATGCTCGCAGTATGTTCCTTGCTGCTGACTCTGCTGCTGCTGCTGGTGGTGGTGCTGATGATGCTGCTGGTGCTGGTGACGGTGCGGGTGCTGGTTCCGCTGATGCTGATACTGCCGAGACTGCTGATGCCGATACTGCTGATGCTGCCGAGGGTGGTGCTGCTGATTCTGCTTTTGATTCCACCACTGCTGCTACCACGACCGGCCAACCCCTCTCATCCTCCTCCCTCCCCCCCAACCTCATCTCGTTCGGCCGCTTCGACGAGCCGCACCTCTCCATCCCCGTTTTAGAGCTCTCGCTGGGCTTCCTTCTAGAGGACCAGCCGCGGGGAGAGCTGGAGGAGGCGATAGGGCGGGTGTGGGAGGGTGTGGGGCACTTTGTGGGCGCGGTGCATGGGGAGGTGAAGGAGGAGATGGAGCGGCACAGCCGCGTGGACGAGAGAGTGCTGGCTGTGGTGGATGGGCGGTTCAGACAGGCTGTCAGTGTGGCTGAGGCTCTCGACGTGTGAGGGCAGGGATGGGGGACAGGGGGAGGGGGGTGAGGAGGGGAGATGAAGGAGATGGGTGGGTGGACGATGGTAAGGGAAGGGAGGCTGAGGCAAGAGCGGCATGAGAAGGTTTGGGTTGGTGCTGAGCTGAGTCACATCAGGAGAGGGAAGGATTCAGGGGAGGGGGGCCGTGGGGAAGGACAAGGGAGATGTGGGCAGGTGGGAGGAGGTGGACGGATGCATGATGTGTGGGTGGAGCAAGGGTTGTGGGTGTGTGGATATGGGGTGTGACCGTGTGGTTCCATGGGGTGTGGGTGGGGTGTGGGCATTTCGGGTATGAAACAGAATCACCTGGGGGAAGCAGTTCTGTGCGATGCCAAGAGAAGAGACTGAGGGTGGGAGATCATATATTTATGACCTGACCAGCTTTATGGGAGGTGAGGTTGTATGCAGCATGTACCTTCTGGGAGCAGCGATTCTGATCTGACCGGCTTGATGGATCTGGGTCACCTGTCTGGGTGGGGGTAGTCAGTCAGGCATCGTGTCATGTCATGCCATGCCATACCATGAATGACAGATGCAAGGAACCGATTTTCCCCTCCCTGGTTTCTCTCTATGAAACGCACCAGTAACACTTTCGGTAATAATCCTGTGTAGTTCACATCCGGTGCTTAATCCTGTTTCCTGATTCCTGATTGCACAGACCAGCCATTTCCGCGTGGAACAATCAAATAGACTGCATCTGCATCGTGTTTGAGTGCACTACTTGGTTACAGCTTCACAAAATAGGCACCATGATATGATATTAAATGATACGATACAATATGATATGGTATGTTATGAATATGACATGTGAACAGCTAAGAAAGAAACCTCCTTGTCCCTGTGCACAGTATTACCGGTAGTGCATGCCTAGCCTCCTACCGTACTTGCCCCAGCACTGACTCAGTCAACACTTTCTTCAAAGATGGTTGTGGTCAACACTTTCTTCTCCCCAACACAGTCAGTAGGCCAGGCCACTCCCTGGACTCCCTTGCTCCCTTTCCCCAATGCAGAACCAACCTGCTTCTATCCTTGGTTACTTGGTCCCCACTTCCCCCCACACCCCGCACCCACCCCAATCAGCCCACCCCACTCCCATTCACTTCCCTTCCCCCCCCCCCCCCCCCCATCCTCTCCTCCACCGCACCTCACCCCTTTCACCCCTCCCTTCACTCCACCTCAACCCCCAGCACCCACCCATACCCCCCTCAACCCCTACCCCCAATCATCCACGACCACAGGTCACCCCCACCCCCACCCCCAGCCCCACCCCCAGTACCGGCACCTGCACCTGATGCTCCTGCCTCTGCACCTGGCCCCCCTCCTCGCACCCCTGTTCCCTGATACCCCCCCTGCGCACCACCCATCTCCTCATCACCACACGCACACCCTGCTTCCCCATGCATCAAACTCACACCTTCCATTCCCACCCTCCCATTCCCCAACCCACCCACCTCTCTGTTTCCCCTCATCATCCTGCTCTGCCCCCCACCACTACTGTCCCTCCGTTCCCTCCCTTCCCTCTCCTCCCTCCACTCCCTGCCCTCCCTTTCCCCCCTGCCCTGCTGCTCTTCCTTGCTGCACGCAGAGCTATCGCGAGACAGCCACAGGTGGGGGCCAATCGCATCGTCATCCGTGTCCGCATCCTCGTACTCGTTATAAGCCTGTCCAGAGAACAGATGGTCCACTGTGAGTGTGGCAGAGCGTGTAGCCATACTCATATCCCGGCTGAATCCTGAGACTAGCCCACTTTCCTCCCCAGCCTCCTCTTCCTCCTCTTCTTCCTCCTCTTCCTCCTCTTCTTCCTCCTCTTCCTCCTCCTCTTCCACCTCCTCTTCCTCCTCCTCTTCCTCCTCCCTTTCCTCCTCCTGTTCCTCCTCCTGTTCCTCCTCCTCCTCCTCCTCCTCCTCCTCCTCCTCCTCCTCCTCCTCCTCCTCCTCCTCCTCCTCCTCTTCCTCCCTCCTTTGCCATCCAGGACTGGACAGGTGCTCAGTTCCAAACCTATGCATTTGCTGCTCTGCTGCTGAACCCACACCCGAATGCACACCCGAATGCACACCCAAATGCACACCCCTCTGCTCTACTCCCCCTTCCATTGCATGCCACGTCACTCTACGCTCCAGTGTGTGCTGCCTCATTTCAACACCCCCATCGTCCCCAGCTACCCCTGCCTCTCCTTTCTCCCTACTCTCTCCCTCCTCCCCCTCTCTCTCGCCCCCACTCTCCGCCCGTGCGCGGCCCCTAATGCTTTCCATTACCCGTCCCTTCCAGGAAGGTGCGGTCCTTAGCCGCCTCAAACCAGGACTCCAATCCAGCACAGAAGGAGCCGCCGCAGCAGCAGCAGCACCCCCACCACTTGAAGCACCACCACCACCACCACCACCACCACCACCACCACCACCAGGGGAGGTCGTCCCAGCGAATGCACTTGGAGAGGAGGACATTACCACAGGGACACCAGCCAGGCGCATCCTCACAGTCCTCCAATTCCACGGGCTGCTGCTGAATGCACCACCACCACCACCAATACCACCACCGCCCCCAGACCCCTGCTTCTTCTGCATCTCCCGCTCCATCTCTCGTCTCACCTCCCTCTGCATTTCCGTCTGCACACCTGCCAGCCATTTCCGCCCACTGCCTCCCGGACCTCTCGCTGCCCGCCTCTTCTCTGCCTCCGCCCGTCTCACCTTCCTCACTCTCTTTCCCTTCACCTCCATGCCCGCACCACCCTCTCCACCTCCCTCTCCCCCTCCCCCCCACCCTCCCCCTCGCCTCCTATCTTTCTCCTTCTCACTGAACGCCTTCCTGAGCCCCCGCTGCATGCTCTCCCTCAGACTCCGCCTCTCATACCACCTCGACGCACTCCCACCACACGCATGCTCCCCACCCCCCACCTCCTCCCCTTCAACCCCCCCACCTCCACCACCACTACCACCACCACCGGCACCACCACCACCACCACCACCATCCCTTCCATTCCTCCCAATACCACTCCCCTTACCACAGTCACTACTTCCACCACCAACCGCACCACCACTCCCACCAACATCACCACCACCAGCAACCCCATCAGCACCAGCAGCAGCACTAGCAACCCCTTCCAGCAGCTGCTTCCGTATAGCCGTCAGCCGCCCCAGCACCTTGCTCATGCACGGCCGTGCCCGCTCCTTGTCCGCCGTGCACCGCATTGCAACGCGCACCACCGCGGCCACTGCTGCCGCCTCCGCTGCTGCCACCCGCGCCACAGTTCTACACACAGCCACCTTCTCATCAAAACGGCTGCTGCCCTGCTCCCCGTTCCCCACTACGCTCTCCTCTGCTGCTCCTTCCCCCGCTGCACCAGGGTACGCCACACTGCCATCCAGCCTCGCTAGGCGCCCCAGCAACTCCCTCAGCTGCTGCTGCCCGCCCATAGGGCGCACACTCACATTCGCCTCTACAGCTAGCACCTCTTTCGCCACTTCCTGTGTGAGCTCCGTAGGCGAATTCCCCTGCTGCACCCCTGAGCCCTCATCGCCCCACACCCTCAGGCGCGGGTCTGCCAGCAGCCGCGGTTCCCGTGCCTGCAGCAGCAGCAGCGCCCACAGGCGAATGGGGAGAGCGGAGAACGCAGGGACAGAGGCCGCTGGTGCAGCCTCACCAGCTGCTGCAGCAGACGCACCACCACCGCTACAACCACCAGTGCTACCAGCAGCAGCAGCAGCAGAAGCAGCAGGAGAAGCAGCCGCAGCAGCTAGTGCAAGGTCGTTGGCTCGAGTTACCACCGGCGGCCGCCCTGAAACCAGTTCCAGCAGCATCACTCCTAGGTCGTACACGTCCCTCCAGTGCAACCCAGCCCCACCGCTCCTCACTGCGCCTTCTCCCCCTATCTTCCCTCGCCTTACCCACTCCCCTGCCCTCCCGTCCCCTCCCACTGCCCCGTCTCCTCCCTCCTCCGCCCACGTCCGTCCATCATCCCCCACGGCCCTCATCACACCACTCCCTCCCCCTCCTCCCCCTCCTCCTCCTCCTACCACCCCAGTACACTCCCCACCACAGCAGCCGCCACTCCTCTCCCAGTCGCCGCTGCAGCAGCACGTGCTGCCACTGGTACATGACGACATGCGGCTCGCATCCCGAGGAATGCCTCCAACCCACCCACTGCCGAACCCACCACTGCCGCCGCTGCCACTCATTGGCGAACCCCAAGCACCACCTGTTGCTGCTGCTGCTGCTGCTGCTGCTAGCTGCCCTTGCGCTCCTCGGCTCTCGTACTGCATCTGCTGCTTCTGCCTTATCTCCTGTGGCAGCAGCAGCGAGTCCAGCAGCCTAGCAGGCAGGATCTTGGCCGCTCCCCTGCACTCACCACCACCACCACTACCAGAATCACCATCATCACCATCAGCAGTAGCAGCAGCAGCAGCAGCAGCAGCAGGAGCAGCGTCAGCAGTTAAAGCGGCAGCAGGAGTAGCAGCAGCACAGAGCATGACATGGTGAGAGGACACCCTGCCATGCGCCAGCGGCTTGCTGGCAGCAGTGTGCAGGTACTGCAAGGCCTGGGCCACACCCACTGCTATGTCCAACCGCTGCTGCAGCGATAACCCGGGAGACTCGGCAGCTGCAGAGGCACAAGGGGAGGATGAACAGGGCGAGGGAGGGTGGCTGCTTCTGATGTTGCCGGTGCAGCTGTTGCTGTTCTGGCCAGGGCTTGTAGTCGTATGCAGCACCGAGGCCAGTGTGCTTCCAGCGAGGAACTCAAAAACGAGGATTCTCTCGCCCTGCTCCTCGCAGCACCCCACCAGCTGCACCATGTGCTTATGACGAAGCCACGCCACGCGCCTCACCTCCTCCTCTAACCGCACGCTCTCCACACTCACTCTCCTCGCCTCCTCCTCTGCTTCCCTCCCTGCTCCTGCCATCCCTTCTGCTCCCTCCCCTCCTCCCTCCCCTCCTCCTCCCTCCGCTCCTCCTCCCATCCCTGTTGGCCCTCCTCCTGTCCG